ATCTCCTATTTCGTCTCTATTCGCGTTCACATTCAATTCCATCAAAAGCGATAATCATAATGTCATACTATTTTAACTTTATGGCTATTCGTATTTATTTACCAGCTGTCTTCGAGTATGAGTCGAGGCCAACGCCGTTCGGTACATGATGAATTTGGTAGTGGAAACGTTGATTATTCTTCACCTATCACTCGAGGCAAAAGACCAAGAAGAGTAAACCTTAATACTGGCTGATTATAATTATTAGAAAGCTAAGATTGCAAAGCATCTACAGGGTTGACCTCATCAATAACAAGTTAATTATGCCACCGATGTGCTGTAACACCCACGTCGCCATGGTGGCAACTCGGATTAGCATTAAAATAGCTTTATTATTGAATTAGTAATCGACTTGATCTTAAACAGTGTTGAAATTTACTATTGGATGACCACGAAAATAGCTGATTATAGGTGCTATATAAGATAAGCAAAAGAGATGAAATGATAAATAATAGCATTTGGCGAAAAGCTTTGTCGAGGTTACATACCGCTCCTTCATCACTAACAGGGCGTTATTGCTAATTTTAGATGATAGAATTACCCCCAACATGTTTATAAAATAACAGTATAGATAGAAATAATTACGATTTAATTTCCATTATGATGCAAGCATAAAAGAATAAATTAAAATTCAATTCAGAATTTATAGTCATGTGTATTAATGATCGCAAGGTTGCAAATGAAATCCTTAAGTTATCCGCCTATACGACTAAAATAAAGCCTTCTTGATTCATAAGGTACACTAAAAACAGCTAATCACCGAAATTTTGTATCTCTCTATATAAATTTATCGCCATATCTAAACGAAAGTACTAATAATGACTATAACAGCTAAATAAGACACGTTAATGCTGTACCGTAAGATTGCAATTTCGGCCGCGATGTGTGTTAGTTTACATGGAATAAAGTATGTTAGTGGGCTGTGGCTGATGACGAAACGGTGAAGTAAGGTATTCGCTCCTTTACGAAGTACTAGAGCTGAGACTGATAGCTTATAGACTGTGTCCAATTAGTTAGTGTGGTTATTACAATACCGTTATAGAATTTAAGTCGATCTAAGACCGTAAAATTGTTAATCTACGAATCTAACGTAGTAGTATTGAGGCTATTAAACGATGTCACAAATGGAATTTATGAATGTAATCCTAAAGTTACAGTCCTATTTACAGGTATGAAATTTCTCTCCTCGTTCCACTTGATGAAATAAAAACGACCACTTAACGAAATTTTATATACTGACACTACTGTACGTATGTACATATATATATCAATAAAAACGACCAGTTAACGAAATTTTGTATATACTGTACGCGTATATATCAATTCATCATCGTATTTAACGAATAGTATTATTAAGAGTTACAACGACTACATAGGATATACGATTGTTGTCAATCAAAACGCTAACTTTGTGTAGTGTTTAAAAGTGATTCTTTCACTCTAACTCTAGTTCATCATTGAACGAATAACTAAAAGCATTTACATCTTTTACTTTCATTACTGCAGCCGGCCAACAAAAAGGAACTGGTCAATGCTATCGCCTACCGTAATCCATACCTAAAGAAAGATCTGCTTCCTATAAGGATTTAAAAGGGTGGATATCTATATAACGATCAAACTAAGATGAATTTTTAATTAAAAATTTTACTTGCTATTACTCATAGACCTGTTAATATGAAGAAATCTATAAATTTGATCCTATCAGTATTTCTATACAAATAACTAGAGCCTCTATATAGCTTTTAAACGCAGCACCAGCAGTTTCCATGATTGAATTGATAGACTGAAAGCACTACATTAAAAGCTATTTATCGAATTACTCCCAAGGCTATCTAACCTGCTTTATTAACTGTATAATTATAAATTCATCTTATGAACATTTAATTGCATATTGTTTGATATTGTATAAAAAAAATAATAAATATTAAGCATGTTGCAAAGATTGGTCAATAATAATGCGGAAAATTACATAATATTATTTACATAGGTTGTCCCGTATACGGATAATATAATTACCGCCCTTTTAGTTTCTAAATACTTTTTTAAATACTTTTCTTGATAGAGTTGATAGATTGAAAGAGATCAACTAGAAATTCTTTTACTCCGCTTATTTGATCATGGCAATATCTAGCTATGTAGAAGTTATAGATACTGTCGCTTAGTAACGATTGGAATTCGGTAGCCCTAAAGATCCCTTTAATAGAGCAGATGCAATTCAAATCAGATGATTACCTCATAATGCAAAAATAGGCAAAGGCAATCTAATTCAACTTTAAATTCAATATTCGTATAGGAATATTAGAACTATGGCTGTGCTTCTGATAGTCTACTATATATTTATGCCATTATCTAGGCATAAACTTCGATTTTAGTCGTTTAGAATTTTGACAACAAATTGGTGCTTTCTAGCCAGTTTTTCTAGTCTTGTAAAAAAATGACTACTAGTTGTAATAGAAATACCAGCCAGCAAATATTATATTAGATACCTTGATTTAGTCAAACGTAGTACCTTAATTATTAGTATTTTGTATACTTTAAATTAATTGTTTATTCATCTAATCAATTTCCATCCAATCGTTTAATAAAGTGAATTTCTTTTAAAGAAATTCAAGATTAGTTATTCGCTCATTGTTCATTTGGAGGTTACTACTACCTCAGTCAGACATAAATGTTCTAAGATTGCACGAAATTATCCTACTCGAGCTAATTTTGTAAATTTTAGCAAGCAATAACAAAATCTACTAATATCTGGCAAACTAGCTAACGGAGAAGATAAAATATTCAGAGTGCAGTATCCGAGTTGATAACCAATACTTGCTTTTCATGTAGATAGTCATACAATAAGCGAAGACTGATTTTCAATGATCATGTGCGGCAGAGAATCTTCAAATTATCCATGAGGCTTCTTTAAAGTCAATATAGACTAGAAAATCTAAGGAGTTCATCGAATTAGCTGTGTATATCGAGTGTAACACATGTACCATGTATTCGTAACAGTAGATTAATTTATATAGTTTATTTTATCTAGTATAATTTACGCTACATCATTGTTTAAAGCATGAGGTTGAATTTTTTAGTCAGCAATTTATTTTGTAGCTAAAAGCATAGCTATTTTCAATCACGATATTCACGAATTATACAAGCTAGAAGCGCTAATACCCAGAAATACAAGATTTCTTCAATAGCTATAAAATTCTCTAGGCTCATACACACTAACTTCTGTAACTTTTATTAATGGAATTGGGAAAAGCAATGGTCTAAATAGTCATATCATGTAGTAGTACTGAAAGATAATAGTACGTTAGCTAACTGGCAATCTAATAGCTTGCAGCACATATAGAGAACTACTACGATTACTTAGAAGTCAGCTAATATGTTACTATCGTGAGCAACTAAAATACTTCCCACATTTCCTAATAAGTAACAGTAAATACACATTATCAGGTAGCAGTTATACTATGATGTATTTACTTGAATCTCAAATAAATCGTGAGTATTACCTTCTACATTTCTATTTTACGCGGAATTTAATCATATCGGATAAAAGACAATCACGACCGACTTATTCATGTCAATATTTAACAGCTCTATGAATTACCACAAATTGTCCAGTTAAGCCTGTCAAAACATTATAAAATAATAGCTCTCCTGAAAGTAATTTAACTTCAAAAATGGTTGCTTATATGCCATCTTGAACAGATACTATTGTAAAACAGTGTTATAGCAAATCCTCTAATTATGTACCACAAGACAGAACACAAATAAATCAATAATATATAATTATAATAACAATATACGAACATGAATGCACAGTTGCACACATTACCATGGATGAATCTTGACTACACTATTAGATTAATCTGTGCGAATAAATCGATAAATACCAATAAATTTAAGACAGAGAATCTTGAGCGGCTTCATACATGCTTATGCGTTTCTTAACAAAAGTCATCGCTTCTTTGTCACAAGATGTACGGCTATTTAAGATTGCAAATATTTCGCCAGAAGTATCAGGGTGAGTTAAATTTACTTCAATTTCTGGTAAATCAGCACCCATGCCAGGTACATTTTCATCCCAGCTTAGACCTGGTACATTATTGAGAGATACAGCGCATTCACCTGCGTAATCGTTCTTTCTTAATATATTATAATCCATGACTGTAAATAAAACCACAGCTCCATTTGTTGATGAACAAAGTTTATCGCTAATATTGCTGTGGTTTAAAAATATAGGGATGGCTAGTTAGTACCTTCCTTCTAAACTGAGTATAATATGATAAAGCCATGCTATGATCTAACTTTTCGTCAATTTGTTAAATAAATAAAAATACTAACAAGGTAAAAGTTTCTCCAAAATAAGGATCCAACGTTTTCTTAACAATTTTAGTAGATTTCTCAGCGCATTTAAAGATATGGCTTGGACATAATTCAACGGTAACGTACGGATCAGCTTTTCCTAGCAATCGTAAACGTAAAAATTGAAAGATAGTCAATATTGATGAACTTTCGGTAGAAGCACTTACGTTACATATTTATTTTGGAATTGATTCTACTTACCATTGGAGTCTAAAACTGGCAAATTTTTGGCATTTATTACTATAGTGCAAAAAAATACTTTGGTTAAAAAATTACGTTCAGTAACGTAAATACGTATGCAGTAGAACTTATTTCCTACGCTTCTGAAGTTTCTATGTTTTAAGAGACTAACCATTAACGAATAAACTCTGAGCAGTTGAAGAATAAAAAACTTTAAATGTCAGTGAGCCATAAAATTCTTTCTTCTTAGCCTTGAAAAATATCAATAGGGCCCCGTAAGGAAAATAACGCAAGGGTTTGTAGAAGAGTACCATATTTTATTGAAATAATTTTGGTTTCCAAAAATAGATACTATCACAACTATTAACGAGAACATACCTGATATTCTAATTTATCCTTAAAATATAGGCCAATTAATGTTCCAGTGTCTAATTTGGCTTTAGTTAAATAACTAACTGACATCTAAACGGTTAAAAAATGTGAGAATTTTACTAAAAGTACAGTCACATCGTTAGCTGTAGTCAAAGAAATGGTAGCATTTTATTCCGCACAGCAACTTACTGAATAAAAGCCATCATTTAAGATAACACTCATTTTCACACCGTTTCCATCAGCTACGAAGAATTCCAACAGAATCTAAAATGCAACGTAACAATGTTAAATCAAAAAATTAAAACCTGCTTGGCGATATTAAAAATTAAACAATATTACTAATATAAAAGTACTAGGATAATACGCTATTATTTGCTTACTTCCAAGCAGTCCCATAGTCTTTCGTAGTACTTGGCTGGTTTCTATCCGTATATTAGGGTAATTAATTAAGAAACACAATATCAAACCAATGCAATAGAAAGAATATTTGTGGGTACAAATTTATGGATTAAATTTATATCTATGCTAGAAGTTCTCTAAGTAATACCGTAGATTTAGCGCTGACTAAACTCCAAAAATTCTCCATGACAACATTTAATATCCTAACCACAATCCTAAATTCGATAAATCAGCAAAATGAGTAACAGATCGTTGAATAATTTCATTTACCGAGTTATACTACTAATATAGTATGCTTACTTGTCAAATACACCGCCAAATAAACATTCATTGAGTTTAATCAAATTATTATCCAGATACTGCAATAATGGATTAATTGCCTGCGGATAGAAAATTTACAAAATGTTGAAACCGAACAACAAATACTGATAAAGTAAGCTAGCAAGAAGTGTGTAGTTTTTATTGTTATTTAACTCTTTCTAAAAGTAAATTTCTAACTTTGCTATAATTATCGAAAGAGAAAGTTTACATTCAAAACTAACCTGGTAAATATCAACATTTTCAGGTACTTTGGAGAACTGTTGTATAAATTGATTGATGCCGACACCCATCTACATATCAAATATTGAGAATGTTACTGATTTAATAATTCCATATACTTACTAATAAGTCCGTATGATCCATGTATTAGCAATTCATCAGATCAGGTTACCTTTTTACAAATATTATTAATAAGAGATGACGTTTTAACGTTAAAGTTTTCATCGCCACTTTCGATGATCTTTAACAATTGAGCTCGACAGTTCTCTGCGTGGACGTTTCCATGATGCGATAATCCAGAAGTAACTTTCTCAAAATTTAATCGTTCAGGTAAAGATTCAAGAGTACGTCGTACATGATCAAGATTATTTAAAGTAACGCATAGCTAAAGGGATCAAGAAAAATTAAGAAAAAAGTTTAAGTTTACGAGTGTCTATAGCTCTTCGTAATTGAGTAATCTTATAAAATTGACATTCTAACCTGTTCAGTTATGTCAAACTGGCCTTCGTCATCATAGAAATGAACTCGTTCAAGTCGATCGTAAATAAGATCTACGTAGCATGTACCAGCAGTGCAAATATCCTGACAGTATTAAGAGCAAAAAATATCGTAATGTTAAACTGCTTAAGTTTGGAAATTCATTTTTGGAAATATAATAGCTCGTGCAATATTGCTAAATCTGCGTCTTCGATATCGATAACACCCACTTAATTTTCTTACTTATCTTTGCTACCAAGAAACTGATATAGATTACAAATATAGGACAGAAATTTGAGGCATTGATGCATATACTTCGATATCATGGCTTGTACGTATAACTACGGGCATTACTTGATATATTGGACTTACATCGACTAACTTAGCTAAGAGAGCAAAACCGTCATCGGCATCAGGCCAATCTAATTCCTTCCAGAAATCGCATGTTTGCTGAAAGCAGCAGCTTGCATCCACAGCAGATGTAGAATATTTGACATAAGAATCAATGACTTCAACCTATTTAAAGCATATGAACCATAGAAAATAAACTGTTTTTAAGGTTTAAGTTGAATAAAATAGATCAGCTATCATAGCTGCCTGTATAATTTGTCAAATAATAATTTCAACTATCACACATACATAATCTTTATGTTACCTCTTCAATTTCTACTGCCTTCTTAATTAGACTGACAGAATTTTCATGGGTCCAGTCAAACCACATTTTGACTAGTGGTGAAAACCACTTGTGTAGTGAATCTAAATTTAATCTTGCTGATTGATTTTCAGGCTCTAATTGCATTCGATATTTCGTTAGCTCTTTCAGCGTGAAATAAACTTGAAAGGTTAATTTATCTACTTTCTCAGAGCATTCTAGGGATGAATCATTGAACGCTTCCATTATTTTCTTCATATCGCGCGCAACCTGCATCCAGTTAATAAATCCATATCAAAAATATACTTAAAATTGTAAATATTTTTAAAAAATGAGGATTAGCCGAAATTTTATAAATTAGTTTTTCTTACCAAATGGTCAATTGTAAAGAATACAGTTGTAAAATAATCTTCGCCAATTCTACAGCATAATTTTATACATTAAAAATCAAATCGTGATTGTTAAATCTTATCAATTATAATGTTAATCTCTAATCTAATGGATAGGATGCCGTACCTAGTAAATAAGTTATTATAATAGTTTCTTGCAGCATGCAAATCTGTAAAGATCTTTTCAGCAAGTTCATTAAAAGTCTGTAATTCCGATTTTATGGACTGTACGAAAGAAAAAGGACAAATTACTCTATTATAGACGTTATTGAAATAAAGAATGAAATTCGTAACGATGTTATTTCGTTTTGGTGAAATTTTATAGCTAGTAAGTATTGAGATTATTTCCTATATGACGGCTGGTCATGAATATAGTCAATCCTTGTATGAGATATCGATCAAATAGACAAATTCAATCTAAGCTATACTAGCTAAAATGAGTATATCACCTCTGTTTTTGGCGTTAGTAAACTGCATTGATTCGCGTACCATTTTTCTGTGGCTTTCTAAATGATTTAGTACACAAGTAATAGTTATATATTTAAAGCAAATAACAAAGCTTATAGTAAAATGGAATTGGAATAACACAATTTGAGCTTTTAAATAAAATATTATTCTAATATTAGTTGCCACAGCTTTAAACGATTAAACGATACCATGAGGTGTCATAAAGAAAAACTAACTATTACTTACTAATCGCTGGTATAATCTATTCTGTGGTATTGATTAAGGCATACCTTAAAAGCCGTTTGTATATCTTGCAGTAGTGTTTTGTTTTGGTGTTTCTTCTGAAATTCTGGTATACTATAGATTAATTCTAGACATCTATTGATTCGCAATAAAATAAAAATTGAATTGATTTTGGCCGAATGTAAATGAAATAAGCATAAGATAATAGTAAAAAACAGAATATTTGATGATTTTCACTTACGTTAATAAATCGTTTAATCTTACGGCACTTTTCTCATCTTTATATGGAAATACACCTCTAACATAGTGAAACATGGTCATACAACGTTCGACAAATTCCTCCAGGCATGAAATAAAGTCCTCAACCTGAAAACGAATTGTATATCAAATAGTAGTTAAATCCTTTAGATAAAGGTTACAGAAATGTAAAGCTAATGCTTGCATCTGCATATATATCAAATATAAATATTATTCATTACTTCTCTCTATATATGAAAAGTTATTAAAATGATTAGCTTACTTCGTCTGGATATTGTTCTAAAGACTGGTTACAAATCTGTTTCAACTCATTCGCCAAGACTTTATAATCGATCTGCTTGTAATTATGGATTTTGCAAACGCAACTAATAGCACTAATTTGTTCAATTTAATGCCAAAAAATCAGTAAATCAATTAAAATGTATTTTGCATAGATTATTACTAATCCAAGATGATGAAGCTAATTAATTTTAAATGGTGTAAACTTACTACATTGATTGCTGGCAGATTGAAATATCGTAATGCATGGCAATTTGCGATAAAACACTCAATGCTTGCACAGATAGATCACAATCCCAAGATTTGTCTTTATTTTTGCTCTATTAAAAGAGAAATTAACGCATAAAAATATAAATTAATTAAAAATATTATAATAGATTGTAGGTGCATGAATGGTTATATGAACATATTATTATCTCACTTACGAAGAATAATTCAGCTTCGTATTCGGCAAATTTCTGATTAACCGCGGCATATAATTCTCTAGGATCATACAAGTGAAATCCGCTCCCCTAAAGTACAAATTATGACGGAATGACCATTATCAATTGTACAAATAATGTTGTCGAACTCATAACAGATGATCTAGGAAGAGCTTTGCTCAATAATGGCCACCCAATGACAGTGTATTGCTAATTAATTTATTTTATTACCTTAGCTGTGGAAAACTGAATTTTTAACTGGCACTGCCCTTGTACATTTGATCTGCTCGATCGAGCTTGTAGATCATACCAACCTTCTGTACCCATCGCTGAGATCTCCTGGAAAGTGAATATGTAGGTATGTTAGGCATTTCAAATACAAAATATAATGTTCATTTGGTGATATTTTACTCAGTGGCAACATCAATTGCTCGACCATCGCTGGACATTGCTATAAAGTAGAGCAAGAAAACGTACCGATAAAGGAATATCAATGCAGCCAAGGAAATCATCAACACTTTCATCACTTCCTGTAGTTGCCGATTGCAAGACTTGCTTAAAATATCTGTTGAAGTAATTATTTGATCTTTACAATTTCGATATACGTGTTTAATTTATTAGATCATGCTCTAATTTACCGGCTAATCCCAGTGACACCTTTGATTTTCATAACTTTGCTGGCGGCATCCAGCACTGTTACATCGTCGTCATGATCCCTGAAATGATCATACTTATTAATATCTCAAGATGTGGATATTATTTAGGCGTCAAGTAATTAAGAATATTACCACATATCAATATGGAGGATATCGTTTTGAACGTTTTCTATATCACTATTAGAAATAACATGCAAAATTCTAATCAGACAATCAATAGCAGATTAATATTACAACTTGATTTCAACCAAATTAGTGTCATTATATTGCTCAAGAAATACTTGTAAATGCAAATCGGAAAACGTACAATTGGAATGTTTCATTCCAAACGGGATTCAAAGTTTCATATTGGATGGATGTCATAACAATCTTTCCATCGTAAAGATCGGCCGCTTTACCTGTAGCTAATGAGCCACTACTACTAAAACTGTTAATGGAACTGCTACTGGAACTGCTACATCTTTTGGGTTTTTTCTCTTTCTTATTTTTTGTTCTTAGACTTCCACCTCTTTGCGCTGGGATATCTCTTCTAAAGTCAACGTCAGTATTTTTAACGATTCCAAGCATACAGAATGGATCGCTATAGCCTTGGAAGTAATTAGGATTTGCAAAATGTTAGATAAACATATTTTAATATACAGTAAAATACTGAAATAATCTATCTACTTACCATTGACATCTTTAGCTTCCAAGTCTCTAGCTTGTAAGACTATTGATTAAAGTAGACAACAGAGAATGTATTGAAGAACATTTTCAATTAATATTTGATCCTTTACCATTAACAAAACTAAAGAATGAGAAAGAATTTACTCGAATTAAGGATAATTAATGTAGCCTTACCTTCTACTTTAACCAAACGTTTAGGATGCTAGATAGGAAGAAAATTGAATGGGTTAGCGTAGTTACTTAGCTGAGTTAGTTTGAGTACCTATATTAAACTGCAACTATACACCTTAGATACAAGTTAAGATTTCATACTATCTATGATCCTAGTTGTCAGATCTTGTTTGTTAATTAATCAGTGTAGGATCAAAAGTAGTAAATTTTGATATCCAATCATGAAGTAATAACGGCTTTAAGATGATTATTTTTTTATCACTCATTGCAAATCAAACTACGACTTACTGGTCGTTCTTTAGCGGTTTGGAAAAGATCATTAAATTTGCCATTGTCAAAACCAAAGACTTCCTTGATATAATTTAATAAACCTTTTGTGGACTGGTTAAAGTCGTCAGTGCCAAATCGATGGATGATTATGTACATTACTTCACCACCACAAACACTTTTCCACTAATCCAGCAAGTATGTATAAAATTGATAAATACGTTAATTTATATTTGGCCTTATATAAAATGTGGTTTTAATGTTAGAAGGTTATATATGAGAAGAAAGAAGATGTATAGAGTATCAAATATAGGATGATTCTGTAATCCAATTTTTAAGAAAGATATTAACTCTTAAGAGATTTTTAACGTTCAGAGATGTTAATCTTTACTCTCGTGAATTCTCTAGTATTGGAAAATGCCATTGGCATGATAGAGATGTATTTTTGTCTACTAGCCGTAACGATCACTATGCTGATTAATAGTCGTTGTCTTAGATGGATTCATAGCCATTCCAGTCAAAATTCTAAGCTACAGTTTTCTATATTTGAATTCATATTTGAAAAAATTTTCTGGTTTTAAACGTGAATATATAGATCATTTTATGTCAACTTCATAGCAATGACAGTCCTATTAATTGTGGTAGAGAAAATCTGCTACGATAACCATCTACGATAGCAGGCAATATTGTTTCACTGTCATTTATGGCCTATGGCATCGTCTAAGTAGTTGGCTAAAATTAAATAAGTACCAATTAAGTCCATTGCTTGTCTACTCTCTTTACTTACCTTCTCTTGATCTGATTTTTCCAACTTAAATTGAGGTTGAGCTTTTTTGATATTAGCTGGTAGCTTTAACTGTTGTTGATTCAGCAAGTGATCATCGACCTGTTTAGAAAATAAAATGAAATAGTTAATTCATGTTTAAGAGCGTAGGACAGAAGAGTTTTTATAACGAGTGTTGTTACTTTCCCCGCGTATTATGTGCAAAACAAGAAGATTTCTCGTATGATGTTTTAGTTACATGGGTAACGTTCTTGATTTTATTCTATGTCGAGTCATATAGATTGATCTATCGAAAGTAATCCAAGGGTAGGCTGGACAACAAAAATGATGTAGAAAGTGTAATTCTGTTAGAGACGTAATATCCTACCCACTAAGCCACTCTACTCCGTTCTTTATTTTAGGGCGAAACAGTAAGAAATCCTTACACTAGTTTAGATATGGAATGTCAGGTAAATTAGTCTAACTGATGTGCTCTATCGAGCAGTTTGAAGGCATACTTGAAGATCTATTTCAGACTTGATAGATATATTGCATCTATGACTAGAGCTTTACGCAGTCTAATATCCTTTTTTCACGAATGTAAACTCATCTTGACTACATTGCCGCATGTATTTTAAGATCACTTCATCCTCCACTCTCCCAAGCTACAGGAAATCAAACCTACTCCCCATCCAGGGAGTTGCCCGAAATGTCAATGTCTACGTAAAGGCTTCAATATTCTATTGCCCTTCTAATTATTTTGATTTATTAGCCAATTCATTACATCATGATATAGCATTGAAAGGGCATGATAGAAGGGATAATTAACATTTTAGCAATTCTTTGTTTTCACTACACGCCTTAACGTTAGCATTTTACCATAGATTTTCTAACGCGCGAATTAACCAATTCTTTTTTAGGCATAGCGACCGATGAAAAGAATTTCCACAATTAGCGATCACGGCGGATATTCAAAGTGATAATGAATAAACTACACCAACAAAACCAAGAGTAGGATCTGCTTCTAGAACGAATTTAAAATTCAATTTGGATTACGATTGGAACTGATGACTACGGGAACTATGCGTCTCTGATGACCGTCTACACAATCTCCATCAACAAATTTTCGATAGTACTTCTATTCTAAATAAGGACTTTTACTCGTTGTCGAGAAAACAAATAATGCTCCTGTCATGGCCAGAAGGGGCAATATGATATTATTGCGTTGATAGCTAGCACAGAATACTGGCCATACCTAACAGCTACAGCAAAACTTTGGATAATACTATTTATCCTATTGCCTTTATCTCATTATGTTGCAGTCAATCAGAATCTGAGAAAATATTTAAACTGCACCGCCAGCTTATCATGTCACGAAAATACTCCATTGAACAATAATAGGGAAAGAAAGAACGCAGCATTGTGGGCATTCATTATTGCGATATTATTTCTTGCGAAATGGCTCAATGATGTTGTTTAATACTTTCCAATAAAAGCTTGTTATTTTAGCGTAAAACAAGAGTGAGAGAAGGTCCACAATTGCCCCCAGTAGGTAACTGGGAGAGCTTTAGCCATGATTACAAGGTATCGTTTAAAGTAGAATGGTTGACAAATAGACTTACTGTAGAAAGGATAAACACTAAAAACATTTGAGAATGGAAGGACTGAAAGCGATTTAGAATGAATAACACTACAAACATGTTTGAGAATGGAAGAACTTTGTAATTGGTTTATGCCTTTGTGCGCGTATATACGATAGAGTCTAAACTACTTTTGCTACGATAAAGATATACGTTTAAGGCTAAATGCAGAAAAAGCTATTCAAAAATTTAAAATTACTCTGCGCAGTTGTCCTGGAGTTCTGTCTGTAGCAGTATTGAAATGTGAAGGATAATTTAATAACCAGTCTTGCTTAAAATCTAGTCATGGAAATATCGGTTAAAAATTGAAGAATTGCCAAATCACGAAGTATATGAATATTCAATTTATCCCGTACGAATATTTTATTACGCAGAGTTGCATTTTATACGTCAGGTAATACTTTCATAACTACAGCAATAGCTTGATCTTATTACGTTTTACTAATGTTCTTCTCCAATATCCTTGTTATGTACAAAAGCATTGCCTTCATTTTTACTTTTTGATATTACTTGATATTGGCTTTACTGGTCGAAAGTGTTTAAAATAGTCTTTGCCTTGCACTAACAATACAAGTATATTGGATACTTGGATGTGAATTGTGAAAGTTTGCAAAGGCCAAGAGGATATTTTTTCTTTCCAGCTCAATTGACAGCTGTAGGATTATACTAAGATGGTTTTTCGAATTTTCTCCCATGTTGATTCAGTTCGAAAGTCAAGATGTACGCAGCCACAAAAACTAAAAGGTTTTTTCAGTCTTTTCTGGGTCTACTAGCATCTTTATACTACTTGTATATAAGAATATTTACCATTACTCTTTGCGTTTGTACTTTTATGATCGATGAATATCTGTATTATTTCCATCTAAAGTAAATTTTTGACTTTTATATTGAAACTACAGTATTTTTAATTCGTTAAGACCGACGATTGGTAGAATCTTTAGAAGTCATTACTGTCCCTCCCTTTCTCTATCTTCGTCGCACATTATTCACTCTCTACTAACAAGACGAAAAGTTAGAGATCTTTCTGATGATAATCTGGCACTAAAACCAACACATTTTTCAAACCATTCCCAACAATAATCTCAAATTTTGCTGTTTACACCTCTTATGATGAAGTACTTATTAGGATAGTAAATTCTCGTAACTACATTGAGCCATCTATACCAGCGCCAGCTGCGTAGAGTCATTAATTAAAAGTTTACTGCAGATTTAACGTCCGTATCCAATCAGAAATGACAGTAAAGGATTTTAGAAACTTAGATACTCAAAATTCCGCTCGTAAGTAATAAAGAGTAGATTAAATGTATAGCTACTTTTAAAGTTTATATTAGAAAATATCTCGAGAAATATCGACTCAACTTTTACTTCGTTTGGTGCAAGGAAGCAACAGGACATAGTCGAAGAGAAGTGCTGCAGGATTGTTATACTATACGATTCAGTTATTAATTAATAAAGACTCTAGCTAAAACTGGCACGAGAAGAAAATACATTGATAGCAAATAAAAATAAAGTAAAAGTATTTGCTGTCATCCGTACAAAGATGTTGCTGTGCTATTTTAAAGAAATCATTAATGCATTCCTAAATTTATTATACTTGTAAATTGTTTGCAGTACAGCAAATTTTGAAAAATTTTATCGAAATAAAGTAGTTCATTTCTATGCCTCCTTACTCTCCTAATATTGTCTTTTCAATTAGAATCAGAGAATGTAAGCTTCAAGAAAATAAAATGAACAGTTAGGAACCTACTACTTTACCTTTTTTAGCAATTTCTTAACTTGATTTCGAACATTAGCCGGAATAGCAGCATATTTTTCAATAAATTTACTATCTACTTCTTGCGCTCTAGAAATAAATTCAAGTAGATATGAAGAAGAAAATGGTTACTTTTGCTAATTCAATGCTGACCATATAATTTTAGAACATAGTCTGTAAAGTGATTGCATGTAAAATTTGAAAACCTATTGATAAAATACTGAATCATACTTGCAATCTTATTCAGCTAGAATAATGACTAAATAAAGCATGAAAATCGACAAAAAATCTTATAATGCTCTTCTATTTCTTATATTGGCTCAATAGAACTTCTTCGTAGCACTTTTATGGTTAATAACTTCTCATCATTATTGAAGTGATTAGGAGTAAACTCTGTAAAATAATGTACACTTGTAACAGTACTAAAGATTGCAACAAGCATATCGAAAATGAACCAGCCAATATTATCACAACTTTAAACGATATAAATCACGGAAGAAAATAAATATTTCATTTACTTTAGACAAGCAAGTATTTTCATGTACGTGATCACTGAAAGCTTTAATGTGTATCACATACTAAAGATAGAATTATTTTAGTAAGTAAATTGAAAGAACTAATTGAGTATAAATTAGAGTTAGTAAATAACGGAGAGAAAAAAATCCTTTAAAATTACTCGAAACAAATAATTTTTTTACTAGTCGGTCGAAAATCATCAATTTTCTATATATGCCAAAAACATATTAAAAACGACGATATCGTGAAATAATGAACGAAGTTTACCATAGATTATAAAATAGCAAATGCTTACTAGAGGAAATAGTTAAGATTGAAAATGCTAAAAATCAACATTTGTAAGATATAAATTTCAAATGATGCTTATGTCAAGAGTGGAACATCTCCGTATTCCGGTAGACAAGTATAACAGCAAGCTTAATATTGAAGCGTAGTTACTCTTTCGTTAAATGTTGTTATCATATACTATTCTATTCGATGAGTCAATGCTATCCATTACGAACTACCCTCCGATTTTATTCTTCTGGATCTGTTATAGAATGAGTAATTATTACTGTAATATTTCAAATCAAGCTAGCATGGTAGGTTAGCAGTTAAAATAAAAGCAATGGTTATCAAATTGTTAAGTTTTAGATGCAACCAACTTTTTCATCATACTGGACCTGCCCATGGTCATCATGTCTGTCGATATTTTCAAATCTTTCCGTCAATAAAATGGATAAAGTTCATATAAATTTACAACACAGCGTATTGGTATTTAGCAATATCGAATCTACTTTTAGGAAAGTAGCTGGTCTACTGGATTAATAATAGTACTCATTCGTCTACAACACATGAATTCATGACCATTTGATTATTCTAACTTCGTCGATATAGCTGTTATTGAGAATTAAGTATTAATAAATCGAATTTTATCTATAATACTCGAACTGACATATCGAGGAATTAATGGCTCGGGAAATAATAATAGAATGGCAGCTTCCTCAAAGAAAATAGTCTAAAAAATTTATTTATATCTGCATAACGCCGAATTACTGCTATAATCTTTGAGTACCTTAAATATCTTTCTATTTTAATTGTAGCAGTACCATTTAACAGACGCTGCATACATCAATAGTCATCCTCTAATTACATAAAAGATTTTGCTTTCGAAAGTATTTAATGGGTACTGCATTGTAAAGTTAATGATTTTTATTAGAATGATACTACTTAAATTAAAAAACACTGGATTTTTCACAATATTGTTTTCACTGAACGAAGTACAATCGAATGTCAAACCGCTTTTTATTAATTAGCATAACTAATAATCTGCTGTAGCATTTCTACAGAAGTAAACTTAAATCGAAAGTATCTGTCTAAGATATCAAGAAGGCAACAGTTTATACGTTCACGAAATTCTTCCTGAAATGATATACGTAGAGAATGCTTAACTTAACATAAGTAAAAGTATATATCAATTTAAATAATATAAAGTTGCAAATATTAAGCCCTATGATTGTTGAATTTCAACATGATTTGTGTAAATTAGCAAGCTAACTCATCATAAAGAAATTAATTATAAAATGTGTTATGATGAGAATAATTTTAAGACGCGTGGGATAAATAATTCTAATACTATAGTAATAACAGGTAAACTAAATTCCTAACCTGATCAACGGTTTAAAATTATAATAAAGAATTTTTTATTGTACTAATATCCTAAATAATTAGCTTTAATGTTAATTTTGAACAGTTAAAGTTTTTAATAACTTTTTAATCAAGGAATCATTTATGTGTTTCATTTAGATTGTAACAATTGCAGGATAGGGCTTTTATACTCGAAAACAAACTTATTGAATTAGGAATGATAACAGTAAGCGAAAATTACTCCCTAAAAAAAAGATAATAATATTTTTCCTTGTCTAATTCTATCCATCCCTTGACATAAAAAAATACAAGACGAATACCTAGTCTTTTCTTAGATGTGCTCAACTTTTCAAAAATAATATTCATCAACGTTCTTTGCATCATCAAGA